GCAGCTGGATGCTGCTCAGGAGCTCTATTGTGGACCGTTTTTGTGCTGGCCTCTGGCTGCGACGTGTCTGATGCATCTGAAACCCTTTCATCACCTCCAGCTATCTTTGGCAGCTGAAAGGGAGAGGGAATGCTTTCAGGAAGAAAGCCTCCTGCTGGCTGCTAAGCCAGTCTGTAGGAGTCTCTCGCAATGTCCTGTCTGCTCTGACCAGAGGTTTTTTCCAATCTTCCTCACTCTGTTCCTGAAGTCCTGTTTTGAGGTATACTTTGCAGGGCTGCTACTGTTGCTCTCACCTTTTCTGCAACTATCCATCTTGCTGATGACTCATGGAACTTCAAAGTCTTTTCTGTTCCAGCACCGACCAACTTTTCACTTTCTCCTCTTTAGGAAAGCACTGAGCAGTCACTGAAGTACTAGAGCCGCCTTACTTCATTGGTTTTTGCTCTGATCAGGGTTTTGAGATTCTCTTTGCTAGTATACTGGCTGAACCTTTATTTTTTTTAATGACAGCAGGTTCTGCAGAAATTGTTGGAACTTGATAGAGCTTTTCCAATAGTCCTGGCTTTCTCAAACCCTTGCTTAAGTAGCAGCATCTAAAGGACAAAGCCACTTTCAGTGTGGTTACAGAAAGTATTCTTGAGGTTTGATGATGAGTTAACCTGTGTTCATAATGTTGGAGTGATGTTATAGCCCTGATGGTCCAGGAAGTATGCCAAAGGCAAACATTTTTTGTGAGTGATGCCTTTTATTGGACCAACTGCATGGTTAGGATAGAGCTGGAGAAGCTCTCGATTGCAAGACATTTCTTCATCACCTCCTTAACATACTTTCACCTCTAGTTCCTTGGACCCACTGCTACCAGGCTGTCTTCAGCAACAGGTCAATTCACTGTTGTTGTAGACAGGTTAAATTTCCATAGGTTTAACTGAATGTGCTGCTTAAACTGTTGTGCCTTTCAGCTAGTTTTTATCAGAAAGCAGCAGAGCTTTAATTCAGCAGGCTGAGAGTGATAGCTATAGATTTTTGATTAGTGCAGCTTGTCTGACTAAATTGCATGTGTGTCTAGCTGTTAAGACATCACTATTAAAATAGGATGCATTCCACTTTGGGAATCCTTTGCACAGCTTCTGTAGATTTTACTGGGAACAACACAGCAGCCAAGGGCAGAATTTAGCTCTGTTGCCTAGGACAGGCCTTGTCAAGGGCTGAAAGCACTAACCCTACTCAATTCCATCGCTTTCATTTTCTGTCCAAGCCATTTCCCATCCTTACCTGTTAGTCCCTGCTTTAACAGAGAGTAGGAACTGGGCATGGTCCTGAATGCAGGACCTGAAGCCAAGACTTCCAGAGTGCGCATCCAAGCTCTGACTCCTGCTCTTGCCTTGGGTAAGTTGCATTAAGAAAGCAGTGGATTCAAAATCTTGGCCATTTTAAAATCTCCACTAGCTACTTGGGGTTTTTCTTACTGCCTTTAGCTTTACTAGACCTTCTTTCATGGTCTTGTCCAGTCCTGTATTTCTTTGTTGGTAAAACAGTGCAGGACAATATTTTTGTTAGAAGAAACAAATAATCTCTTTCCGTATGTATGAAGGCGAGTACTTTGCATAGCGTTTGGTTGGTATAAACACTTTTTATTGAACATCAGCGATGTGTGTATAAACTGTAAGAACAACATAAACTAGGTTTGTATAAACTGTGAGGAAAAGTGGGGCAATGGAATAGACTGCGTAGGGAAGTTGTGGACTCACTATCATTGAAAGACTGGCCATCAAGGAGAGGCATAACAGCCACTGGTTGGGGGTGATCGAGAATGTAGCTGTGCCTATTTTCTACCTTGGGTATTTCCCATGCTTCTGGGCTTTGCTGGTTGCTCCCGCCCCTGTTCCCTCCCACCACCTTTATTTTCCTGTTATATGCATCAGGGTATTTTTTAGCTTCCCCAGAGAAATTGGCTATTGGCTACAGCTAGGGCTGGGGACTTCAACTGAGGTGTGCCAATTCTACAGGAGCAAAGCCAGAGTTTTATGGCTAGAGGGTCTTGCCCCTCTGCTCAGGGTCAGACTGATGCCGTGGTCAGATTGGCACAGACTTTGTGGGTTTTTGCCTTCCCTTGTTGTAGGGGGCTTGGCCCTTTACCCAGAACCTTTTGACTATATATTGACGACATTTTATAGAAGCAGGATATTGACTACCATGGTTCCCTTGCTTTACCTGTGGTAAGTTAAGTCTATGTTGTGTCAGGGTTGAGGGTAATCTTAAGTAGAGTTTGGATTATGGTTGTATGGGATGGTTTGGATTGGGATGATCCTATCTCAGGGAGAAGGTTGGACTAGATGACCCTGGAGGTCCCATCCAGCCCTACTTCTCTGAGTAGGTATACAAATGTCTTGCTCATCTTTAAAAATGTGTCATCAATGGCTTAAGATTTAGTTAATTGTATGAAGTTGCACAGTCAAGTGCTTCAAAGTTAGGAAATGCTGGAATTAAGGAGGATCTTTCAGCTTTGACTCGGTCACTTCTCGCATTTCTGCTTGAGTTTATACCTGATGCTCAGCACGTCACTTAAATAAGTCATCCGTCTTCATAGATTCAGATTTAGGGTCGGAAGGGACCTAGTAGAACTTCTAGCCCGACCCCCCCGCCAGGGCAGGAGAACAACAAAACCCCAAAACAAGAAACGGGACTCAAATGAGTCCAGCCAGGTAGGCATCCAGCCTCTTCTTAAAGACCCCCAGGGTAGGGGCCAGCACCACTTCCCTTGGAAGTTGGTTCCAGCTCCTAGCCGCCCTAACTGTGAAGTAGTTTTTGCGGATGTCCAATCTATACCTCCTCTCCATCAACTTGTGCCCATTACTCCTTGTTATGCCAGCGGGCGCTAGGGGAAACAGCGTCTCCCCCAAACCCTTCTGGTCCCCCCTAGTGAGTTTATAGACGGTCACCAGGTCCCCCCTCAGCCTTCTCTTGTGGAGGCTGAATAGGTTCAGGTCCCGCAGTCTCTCACTGTAGGGTCTGCCCTGTTGTCCCCGGATCATGCGGGTGGCCCTCCTCTGGACCCTCTCCATGTTGTCCACATCCCTCTTGAAATGGGGCGCACAGAACTGGACACAATACTCCAGCTGTGGCCTGACCAGTGTCGCGTAGAGGGGGAGGATCACCTCCTTGGCTCTACTCGAGATGCACCTGTGGATGCACGACAAGGTCCGGTTAGCCCTGCCAACCATGACCTCGCATTGTCGGCCCATGTTCATCTTGGAGTCAATAATGACTCCAAGATCTCTTTCTGCCTCCGTGCTCTCGAGTAGGGAGTTCCCCATTGTGTAAGTGTGCTGCTGGTTCCTACTGCCCAAGTGCAGCACCCTGCACTTGTCCGTATTGAAACGCATCCTGTTCCTGTTAGCCCACCCCTGTAACCTATCCAGATCCCTCTGCAATCTCTCACTCCCTGCTAGCGTGCTCACCTCCCCCCAAATTTTGGTGTCATCAGAGAATTTAAACAGGTTACTTTCCACCCCATCATCTAGATCGCTGATGAAGAAATTGAACAGCGCAAGTCCCAGGACCGAGTCTTGTGTTCCTTGCATACCCAGTATGAGATTGTAGGGATCATCAGTGGGAGAATTCCTCACTTTTCATAGTTTCATAGTTTCTAGGGTCAGAAGGGACCTGAGAAGATCATCTAGTCCGACCCCCTGCCATGGCAGGAAAGAGTACTGGGGTCAAACGACCCCAGCAAGGTGTACATCTAACCTCTTCTTAAAAAAACCCCAGGATAGGAGCCTGCACCACCTCCCTTGGAAGTTGGTTCCAGACCCTAGCTGCCCTGACTGAAATAGCGCCTTCTGATGTCTAACCTAAATCTAACCTCTGCTAGCTTGTGACCGTTGTTCCTGGTCACTCCTGGCTGTGTCACGGTTTTAATAGCTGCTAGCCGAGGGTAGCATCCACATAGCTGAAGACAAAATAAGCATGAACCCACTTTCTTCCCCTTGCTTTTCAGGGCTAAACCCTGAGTGCTGAAAGCTGTCTAGATCACTTAGCATCCACCTTAAAGCTTCTTATTTGCAAGAGATCAGAAAGCTTATTCCCTGACCTCCTCTCTCCCTGGCAGGTTTTTATGCTCCTACAAGCCTGTTAATGTTGACCTCTTCTATGTAATAAACTGTAAGTAATTTCCAATATGTGCATTCAAAGCGCAATTTCTTGGACACTTAGACAATTAAATATGTCATCACAGAATTATTCCTACGGATGCGTTTCTGAGCTCTGCCCCATCATTAAATGCTTTTTAGAAACATAATTTGTTTGAATTCCTTCCCATTCTGCACTTAACTACCCAGAGTTGTTATTAGTAGGAGGCAGTTAGCTGCATTCTTGTTTTTAGCTCTCCATAAAATGTCAAGGTTTTCATAGAACTAGCTCAGATGTTGTTAGAAACTCTGGAAACTTGCATTAAGCCCAACATGGGATACACTGTACTCCTAAGTACACTGCGCAGTGTTCAGGTACTACTTATATTTATTAATTAGTTAACATTTGTATAGTGCCTTGACCGAGTCCTGTGTCTCTGCTAAATACTAATATTTGTACATGATGGAACTCATCTTGGGAAGTTTTCGAAGCTGTGCTTTATTGCAACTTCTGCAAACTGCTTCTGTGAGAATAGGCAGCATTTATTTTATAGGTGCTTTCAACTTCAAAGCAACTTTATTACAAATATTAACTAATCACTTATCTGGTCCGGTGAAGGCAGGAGGTATTGTGTAAGGGTTGATGTTACATCTGCAGTACAAGATACGAATGTAACAGTCTTTGTTCTAGGGAGCTTAGGGTGTAGAAAGCAGCATACCAATGCTTTTTTTCCCCTTTAGGTCTTGTTCATCTTAGTGAGCCCTCAGGAGGGGTTTGTGTGTGGAGAGAGTGGGAACCAGGCAGCCTGGGGTCAGGGGAGAGAGCTATTTATGGGAGGGTTGCTGGAACCCAGGACTGAAGTGCTGGGAATCAAGGGTCTGTTCTTCTGCTGCAGGTGAGGAAAAGAAAAAGAAAACAAAAACACCACATTAAGCTTCCCAAGCCAGTGCCAGAAATTACCTTCCAAGCTTCCTTTAACTGCCTGGAGGAGAGCTGCATGTTGACTGCAATACTTCATTGGGCCCTATTACAGTGCACAACCCCCAAATTCCATAACGATCAGTGTTTGGTGCTTAAAATCCTTAGGCAATTTGCTTTCTTTTCACCTGGAGAAATCTGCTTGGATTTCTCAGCCATCTGCTTGTGCGCTGGCTGACTTAGTATGCGTTCTGCCGTTTGCATTTTTCCTTGTTCTTATCATAAGTGACAGCCTTCTTGATTGTAGCCTCAAAGAAGCTCAGCAGTGAAGAATTTTATATGTTGGTCAAGGGAAGTAGAAAATAGCATGCAGATGGCTGATGGGAGCCACTCTTCTATTTCACAGCATTTGATCAAGCTGCTTGAAAAAGGAGTTGTGATTTTCCTGAAGAAGCCATCTTTTTTTTTTTTTTTTAATATAGCATCTTTCTGCCAAAGACCTTAGATGTCCTGGGTGAAAACCTAGCAATACATGCATGGTGCCAGGGAACAAGTTTGTAAGGAGGCCATAATGGAGAAGAACTTTAAATGAATGAAGTATCCTATATATGTTAAGGGATGGTTTCTCAGAAGGGGATTAATAGTGCTGGTTTGTAATGCAATGACTTCCTTCACCTGTAAAAGTACCATAGCAAAGTGTCCATTCTCCCTTTTTAGCACCCATGCCTTTCCAAACCTACATTACAGCCCAGTCTCTTTCACAACAATGGATAGATATATAAATCATACTAGGAACTGGAAGCCTCATGCTATTCCCATTAATTTGTCACTTCTGCATATTGGAGAAACTACTTAATCCTTGGACTCATCTGATGTTCCCAGTTATTGCGCTGTCTTGTGATTTTTGGTCTCTCCTGAGTGAAGGCTGCTACATGGAGTATCAGGCTGCCAGCTGGTGGTAACTGCTTTCCACCACCGCCAGCACTGGCCTGGATTAGAAAAAGCAAACTTCTGAAAGGAGACCTGTGTCTCTTTGAATTCTCTGGGCCTTCCAGTCTCTGCATTTTTAAATCATGTTCCTTGATGAATTACTCCTGAACACCTTCTGCCTTGCCTCTTATAATTGCTGTATGTATCTTTTTTGTTACAAGCAAAGATCTAATATTTGAATATTTGTATTGAGCCTGCTAGAAAACGGCACAATGCAGACGATCATTATGCCACTGAAAGATTTCCTTAAAGGAATTCTAAATACAGTGTTACTATGGAGAGTGGGTGGTGGGTTAGACATAGTAAGTTTTGTTCTCTAAATTTAACCTGATTAAAACTCTTAATCTAAACCTTCAAATGCATCTAATTCTTGGCTTTTCCTTTCCTAGTTCAGGGTACAGCAGAAGAATTAATGCCAGCATGCAGCTCTCTTACCAAAGTTCATTACAGACTATGTTCCTGATTGTCCAAGGAGCCTGAACCATTTATTTGACTAGACTGTTTTGATGCTGAGCGCTTTTGAAAATTGGTCAGTGTGTGTAGCAAGTTCACCCACTCCTGAAATACCATTGCCACCTTCCAGGAGGGGCACAGCATCTGTCTTGTGTCTTGAACACTAGCCAGCAGTTTGACAGGGATCTTTTTTAATGCTAGCTTCTCCAGTTGGAACTAGGAGGGAGCCATATATAAGGAGGTCTTCTATCCAAGTATTTATCCAGCCTGACCCTTCCTAGGCAGAGTGGGTTAAATTCTGATACTGAACTGTGTGTCTACCTGTACAAAAAAGGAATGTTTGTTTTTTTTTTAATGGAATAAGCAGATAACTGTTGATGTTTCTAAATGTCTTTCCTTCTGTGGAGTGTGCTGAGACCCTGTGCATTCTCTTTTCTGAGATGGTAGGACAGGCTGTGATCATCTCTACTCAGAAGAGGTAGCTCAAGAGCACCACGTGTTCAATGAGACTTTCTCATTCCCAAAATTGTTGCATATAACAAATAGCTTTTTTTTGTTTGCCTTTTGCAGATTAGCAGGTACTGATGGATGTTTCCAACAGCCCTGAGCGAAATCCCTGCTCTCCGGAGGAGGAGAACCGGCAGCTTTCCGATGATGAGATCCTGAAGGAGAGTGGCTCAGATCGAGATCTCGATGGAGAGGGTGGACAAGGCAGCATCTTGGAGGATGAAGAAGAGGAGGTTGCAGCCAGGGCACTGAGTCACAGCAAAGAGAATCACTCAGATGAGGAGGATCGTTTAAGCGAAACCAAGTCTCAGGACTCTGACAATAATGAGCAGAGGAGGGAGCTAAAGAACTCCCCGTGTCGCAAGGGGGAGGAGGAAGATGGGACAAATGACCTTGGAGACGAAGCATCCTCTGTCACTCGGGAACTGGATGAACACGAACTGGACTATGATGAGGAGGTTCCCGAAGAGCCAAGTGCTGCAGCCGCAGAGGAAGATGCAGAAAAGGCTGGGGCTGAAGAGGAAGAGGAGGAAGAGAAGGGGGATGATGCCCCTGAGGACGAGAAGAAATCCAGCACCAAAAGCGACGATGAAAAGGATGGTCAGGATCCTGTCAAGGAGAAGAAGAAAGAGGAAGATGATGGAGAGATTGATGATGGAGAGATTGATGTAAGTGCGAGGCTGCTCTTGACATGGCAGCCTGGGCATTGCTTGGGGAAATCCTTTGGCCTGCTTTATCGGGATTGCCTTGCTGAGTTTTTGACATGCCTCTTTTTTTTTTTTAACATGAGTAGCTGCAGTCAGAGCGAGCACATGGCCTAACTCAAGGGTAGGCAATGTTTTTTGGCCAGTGCCGAAAAAACCACAATGTCTACCTTGGAAGGTGCCGGAGCACCAAAGTGCCGGAGCCCAGAGCAGCTGTTTGCAGCTTCCCGGCTGCAGCCATCCCACGGAGCCTGGTCTGCATGCAGCAGGGCTTGCAGCCTCCTAGCTGCCTGCTGGGAGCAGCCTGGGCTCTGTGGCTGGCAGCAGCTGCCTAGAGCCCAGGCTGGCGGTAGTGGGCCGAGCAAAATGGCCTTGCGTGCCACGCTCGGCACGTATGCCAGGGGTTGCTGACCCCTGGCCTAACTGATGACATCAGTCTACTCTAGGTTCTTGGCTTGTCCCTCTTGCCTTCCACCCCTTCAAGCTCATATTATCTCCCAGAAGGTAGCTGAGAGCATCTCTGCCAGGGAGCTTGCTTTGTTCTGTGTTACAGCTTCAACTACTTAGGTGCCAGATGCTTCATAGTTTGGAAAATCTGCCAGTTGCAAGGCCTGGAAAAAAGAGTCTGCTGCTATGGCTATGTCAGCAGAGCCCCCGAGCAATGATGCTGATCAAGGGCACAGGGTCTCCAGAGCTTCAGGGCACTGCTTCTTCCCTGGCTCCCAAAGGATGCTTGTTGGCACCACATTAATTAGCCCGGTGCTCGCATCTGTCACATCAGGTATAATGCTATTAACCTCCCAGGCTGTGACAGTTGCTATAGGACGAATGCCAGGCATACACGGGAAATCCAAAGGTTTTAAACTATGTTATTGTATTGCTGTTGGCACTGTAAATAGCACCTTGGAGCTGGATAGACTTCATAGATTTCATAGATTAAGGGTCGGAAGGGACCTAGTAGATCTTCTAGCCCGACCCCCCGCCAGGGCGGGAGAACAACAAAAAACCCCAAAAAGAGAAACGGGACTCAAACGAGTCCAGCCAGGTAGGCATCCAGCCTCTTCTTAAAGACCCCCAGGGTAGGGGCCAGCACCACTTCCCTTGGAAGTTGGTTCCAGCTCCTAGCCGCCCTAACCGTGAAGTAGTTTTTGCGGATGTCCAATCTATACCTCCTCTCCATCAGCTTGTGCCCATTACTCCTTGTTATGCCAGCGGGCGCTAGGGGAAACAGCGTCTCCCCCAAACCCCTCTGGTCCCCCCTAGTGAGTCTATAGACAGTCACCAGGTCCCCCCTTAGCCTTCTCTTGTGGAGGCTGAATAGGTTCAGGTCCCGCAGTCTCTCACTGTAGGGTCTGCCCTGTTGTCCCTGGATCATGCGGGTGGCCCTCCTCTGGACCCTCTCCATGTTGTCCACATCCCTCTTGAAATGGGGCGCACAGAACTGGACACAATACTCCAGCTGTGGCCTGACCAGCGTCGCGTAGAGGGGGAGGATCACCTCCTTGGCTCTACTCGAGATGCACCTGTGGATGCACGACAAGGTCCGGTTAGCCCTGCCAACCATGACCTCGCATTGTCGGCCCATGTTCATCTTGGAGTCAATAATGACTCCAAGATCCCTTTCTGCCTCCGTGCTCTCGAGTAAGGAGTTCCCCATTGTGTAAGTGTGCTGCTGGTTCCTACTGCCCAAATGCAGCACCCTGCACTTGTCCATGTTAAAACGCATCCTGTTCCTGTTAGCCCACCCCTGTAACCTATCCAGATCCCTCTGCAATCTCTCCCTCCCTGCTAGCGTGCTCACCTCCCCCCAGATTTTGGTGTCATCAGCGAATTTAAACAGGTTACTTTCCACCCCATCATCCAGATCGCTGATGAAGAAATTGAACAGCGCAGGCCCCAGGACCGAGCCCTGGGGGACTCCGCTACCCACCTCCCCCCAGGTTGAATATGACCCATCCACCACTACCCTCTGAGTGCGACCCCTCAGCCAATCTGCAATCCATCTGACTGTGTAGGCATCGATGCCACAGTCGCCTAGTTTTTTAACTAGGATGGGGTGAGAGACTTGATGGTGCTGGACTTTCTACAAGCAATGTGGGGGGTGAGGAAGGGCAGAGACACGATCCCTGCAGCTGCTGATTTTAGAGTTTAAAAACAAAATAATTCCTGCTCAGGCAGGGACAAGATGATGATGTCCTCAGGAGCATTTAAGGTCTACATTTTTACTCTGCACACATTTTTAGGTTTTAGGAACAAGTTAGCAGCAAGGCTTATTTTAAATGTGTGTATGCCCTCTGTTGGCACCTCAGAAATGAACCCTTACTCAGGAGAGCTTGCCTTGTATTGGATTTCAGCAGGAATATAGCAGAATCAGTTGTTAACCCACCTCTCCGCAGATCCGCTGTTTATTTCCAGCTGGCCCACGAATTCCCCTTTCTAGTTGCTAACTTGATACAAAGGCATAAAACTTTTTCCCAACACAACTTTTTCCATATAAGCAATTGCAGTTGTTGCCGCAGGGATGTTCTTCTCCCTACTGGGAGGGAATGGATCCACCAGATGATCTCTCTGTTGCCATGTGGTCCACCCTGAAAATGTTTGTGCCTCCTGGGGAAGAAAGCTGAGGCAGATGAGGGGGCAATACTACACGGCCTTGGAGGTTGAAGAGCTTCTTGAGGGTGCAAGTGCCTTGTGCCCCTGCAGCACTTGCCACCATCAATTCACTCTATTTAAACTTCCTTTGACCTTCCAAACCTGCCACAATCAAGTGGGCAAGAGCTTTCTCAGTAAGGATTTCCTCTGGGAGAATACAGACAAAGGCCTGTCCTCTGAAGCTATGTGTAGCTGGTACTGTGCACATGTATTTAATTTCATAGATTATATTCTGATGTCTGGTCTTCTGCTATGACAGATTATGAAGGCAGTCCCAGAGAGCTCTCGCATGCTCAATCTTCCACAGGAGATTTCCGAGTGCATTGTGCTGGGTCGTAGCTCTCAGTTTACATCCAGTCGCTTATATGCAATGATCAACTCCTGAGTAGAATGTTAACACCCCCCACCCTTACCTTTTTATTTAACTGCTGCCACTGGGACTTTCCAAAGCAATAGATACAGCTTCCTTGCTGAAAGCTGTTCATGAGATTCTGTCATCTATATGCTGTAAAGAGGCAGTTTTTAATGGTTATTACAACATGCATTATCCTTCAGACCTTAATATGGAGATCCAATACAGATGCTGTGCATCTCCCCATCAGTCATGCTTTCAGACCTTGTCTGTGTCCACAAGTTGCGTTGTTTTTTTTTTTTTTTAAAAAAAGGAGGAGGGGGGGTTTTTAGGTTGATAGACTAATGGAAGGTAAATTGGTATGATGTATGAGTGCCCATTCAGGGGTTTGTCTCGGTTAACTAAAGCATACATTACTTAAAAAGCTGCAGCTTAAATCTGAAGCCTTATCTATGTTATAGTACCAAGCTGCACTTACTGCATCCAGTGCCCACTGTCCTCCATAAATTATAGAGCTGATACCCTCCTTCCACACAGTTGTAGTACCACAGCTTCAAACTTAATTTCCATGACATCTTGTCCAGGATCCATTCTCAATGCCTTTGATATTTACTTGTTTTGAATTTATTGTGGGTATGGTTTGAGGAAAGCTGGGGGGGGGGGGGGTTGTCATGGTGACCTGACTGACTTAAGCATCTTTTTCTTCCTTTCTCAGGATGATGATCTGGAGGAAGGCGAAGTTAAAGATCCCAATGATAGAAAAGTGAGGCCACGTCCCACCTGCCGGTTCTTTATGAAAGGTAACAATATACTGCATCCCTGGGAGTAGACCAGGCACTCTGTAACTCCTCTTGTTCAGTGTGCAGCTGCAAGACTGCAGGTCATATGATGCTCAGTGTCCCAGACATCCCTCAGTATCGTCTTTCTTTTCCTGGGTAGATTCACAAACTGCCAGCATGCAAAATGCGTACAAACTGCTCTGCCTTAGCTGTGGCATGCTTTGCTTGCAGCAAATGAAAAGAAAACTGCTGGTGTTTTCTGGCAGCTTGAAAGAAGAACCTCAAGCTGTCAACTCTGATAATCAAATATTGCTTAAGCTGCTGTTAAAATGCTATACCATACTAATTTGGGAATGGAAAAACACTCCTTAGGCTACGTCTCATCGGCACCCAGCCAGAAGAGAATTGTTCCCTCCAGTCCAGTATCCAAAGTGCTGCTTTTAAATCCCAAACAATAGGGTTCAGTTTCTTCCCTTGAGAGACCTTTACTGAAAGACCTCTTACGGAGACTAAGTCTGGAATTGATGAGTTTCCCTGAAAATAGTAACTGGGCATGTCATGTTCCTTTCTTCTCGGCATGGCTGCTTCGACAGACATTTTCTGGTGTGCATCTGTTGATATGAGTCTGGCTTGGCTGTGTAGAGGTGCAGTTGATATGAATGGAAAGCCACAAATTCCAGAGCAGCCCAAAGGTAGCTTGACATCAGGTCTGATTGGGTGAGGAATGGCACTCTGTATAGTGTAGGCCCCTGGGATTGGCAGCTGGCTGGAAAAATCCTCTGATTTAGGGATGCTGTTCTGGGTAGAGACTCAGAAATGGAGACCTATTTAAAGCAGATAACAGTGTAACCTTCATTAAACAGATTTAGGGTCTTTTGGCTTTGCATTAAAAAGAATTGTGCCTTCCCCCTCTTCTTGATTTCTCTTAACTTTTGATTTCAAATAATCCCAGAGATGATCTGAACAAAACTTAACACTGTATTAACACATTCCCATTATAAAACCTGAAGGGGAATATTAAAAGAGTTTCCCCTGCTACCCTCCCCCCTTTTTTTAATGTAAAGATTAGGATTCAAGTACACTAAAACTGAATCAGGTCCTTTTTTTAATTTGCTGTTGCTATTAAACATACAGCTAAAGAGAGAGATGATCAGAAGCCATTGGGTCACTGCTCAGTTAGTAAAAACTACACAGGGAATCGGGATGGGGTTTTCCAAAGAGATGAGCATTTGGCTTAGCTCACCTCTTTTCCTGGAAGGTTTCCTGTGTCTAATTGTTCTTCACATGCCTCTTGGCATGAATCCGGTAGTGACGTGGCTGGGTGGGACTTATGCCTTTCTTTGAATGTGGTGCATGTTTTCTTCAGCAAGCACAGTCTCTTCCTTCATTCTCGGTAATGTTTAATGTGTCTGTCCTCCCATGCTTCATGGAATTATTTTGATCACTTACCTTGTGCCCATGTGTCAAAGTTCAGCCTGCATCATGCCGAGCTGTTTTGCCGCAGGTACATTCCTTGGATTTCAGCTTCCACTGGGTGCAGGAGGCTCCTGCTTTCTTTCCACCTTGCGAGAGATCTGTAGAAGCAGGTTGGCTGCTGGCTGGCATTGCTGGGATATAGCTGGGTTGTTCCTTAGAAATAGGTTTGAAAATAGTGTCTCATAACCACCCTGGTTCACTTTGGATGTGACTGCTTCTGTGAAATAGTGCAAATGGCATGATTAGCAGCTGTCCTGGCATGCACACAAAAGTTTCTTAATTGCCAGGAGTAATTAAAAAACTGCTGCATTTGGCATATTTAAATCAGAAACAGGAAGCATCTCCCTTGATTCTTTTTATTAACAGTTCCAGTGGTCAGCTGTCAAATATTTTACTGGAAGTATTTGCATAATATTTTTTCTTGGTGACTGGTCTGTTTTTTAAGAGTTCTGTAAGGAGATCTGTTAACACTTCTGGTATTCACGCAAGTCCTGAATAACTGGTTAAATTACACAGAGAACAGGGAGTACAAAAGCTTGCTGTTGCCACGGTGCTCTGAAAGGTGGAGAGGCATTCTGTCTCCTGGGCTGTCTCTCGTCACGCAGAATAGATGCATGTGGGTAGTGGCAATATAACTTTGCTCCAAATGTTGCCCTCCTAGGCTGCGTCCAGACATATGTGGATGTTTGGTTCCCTGGGGACAACTAGCAGTGGTGGCACACCACTAGCTGTCCCTGGGGAACACCTGTGCCACGCGTGTTCTGGTGTGCAGTAGGTTACCCCGGGTGGGGTAGGAGAGGCTGGGGCCAGTACTGGGCTGGCCCCAGCAGCCTTACCTGGGGTGCTGGGGGCCTCATGGGGCTGCAGTGGTGGCAGAGTAGAGTGCAGCTCCAGCTGGCCAGGCTCCAGCTTTGAGCAGCTCATGCTGCCGTTGTGTGCATTGGTCCACTTTTTTTTTCTTGCGGGTTTTTTTTGACCCCTAGATATCCCTTGCAGCACGGAAAACAGCTGAACATGCAGTATGTGGCACCACAGATGCGTCTGCGGTGCCATGCGCTGCATGCAGTCATCTGGATGCAACTCTAAAGTCTCACCCCTGCCTTGGAGGGAATCACTTGTAGGGATGAGTGCAATTTAATTTTCAGTGGCCTAATCACTTTCAGCGTTTGCATCAGAGAATGGTGGGCTTGGGTCTCCATAGGGTTTCTACCAGGTCTTTGCATCACAGCATCTGACTTCATGCCAGCTGCCACAGGGAAAGACACGTATTGTCACCTACTGACCTGGGCTAAATCCAAAGGCACAAACTATCTCTGTGTCCTGTTATAAACACCTGAGTTCCCACCCCCCTTCGGCAAGGTATGACACTTTCAACTAACGAACTGTAATGGCCTGAGCATTGTCATCCCCCTCTTCTTCCTGCCCCCCCTCACCCACCCAAAAAGGTCTCCTCTCCTGTTACTTTCTGACAAGTGCACAGAACTGATTGAATAAAGGAACCCCAATTATATGCACCACAGGGCTGCGTATTTGATTTGAATTGCTGCTTTTACACTTCTTTTCAGGTCTTGTCATTTGGATCTATCACAGAGTTCCAGCTCCAAGTTTTTTTGTGTGAAACAGAGATGCAGAATTCACTGGGTAGTTTTTCATGTATAAATCTCTTATAACCTGCCAAAACAAGATTCTTCCCTTTCATTTTATCTAGTATTGCAGTTGAATTCTTTCCTAAAGGGAGTTAGAGAGAGAGAGAAAAGGTCTTGCAGTGTTATCCCCTGGGACTTTGGATAGCTCTGCAGCTGCAGTAGATGTTGTCATCTTGAGGTGTTCAACTATTCTGTGCAGGAGCCTTTAACTGGACTTTGTTTTCACTACAGGTCACTGCACTTGGGGAATGAACTGTAGGTTTATCCATCCTGGTGTGAATGACAAAGGGAACTACTCCTTGATCTCCAAACCAGACCCCTTCTCCCCCAACGGCGCACCTCCCATCGGCCCTCACCCACTGATGCCGGCCAACCCTTGGGTATGAACGCAGCAGTTTACACATTCGGAGAGGCTGCTCTTTTTTTTTTTTTGCTTGAATTGATCTGCACCTGTTCTACAGGGGCTGAAGGGTTTACTAAGTTGGCCTGTAGTATAGCAAAATGAAACAGGCCTGTGGGATAGGCTCATTTTAAGAAGGCGGTTTATATGTTGTGAAACCACCAATAAATGGCCATAACTTCTCATGTCTGCCCTGGATTTAGGGTGTTCACAGAGTTCTGTGGGACAGCCTGTGCTAATGTTTGCAGATGTCTCATATTCCCACTTGTTCTTTTCTTCTAACAGGGTGGGCCAGTAGCAGATGAAATTTTACCTCCACCCCCTCCAGACCCTCCAACAGAAAGTGCCTGGGAAAGAGGGCTCCGGCATGCTAAAGAGGTATAACTGCTCCTTCTGCAATACGTGGTCTGTCTCTCAAGCCAGCAGGTCTCTGTTTCCTCAGTGGCGAAACGATGGCTGATGTATTCGGAGCCACTGAGAAGGACTTTCTTTCTTGTTGCTCTATTCTCTCACCTCTTTGGAGACGGTGTAAAGAAGGTTGAGGGCATAGTGCCTCATATGGTCTGTTTTAGTTTTGAAATGTGCAAGATTTTTCCTGTTGATGAAAGCCATGAACATTTTTTTTTATGCATTGTCTTTTCGGGAAGCCCTTTACTCCAACTGTCCTCTTTATATTGTACCCCACATCACTCTTCTGACCACGAAGAGCTGGCATCCAGCAGATTTTTTTTCCCTATCAACATCAGCTAGAAGAGAGAACTCATGCACAATTCAAGGCTTACCAAAGTCAACCCCCACTTCTACTATTTGCCTGTTTCTCAGCAGGTCCAGTGAGTTTTTGTGCCCCCCTTCCCCTTGTGTAAGCCCCCCTGTGGTACTTGCATCATAAAGCTCACAGTGTTCATCTACAGAGGCATTGGTTTAAGTTTCCAAGAGCTTTTCGGTGATCGCACCAGTCTCCCTGTCTGATCCATCATTTGAGCTCACAAAATAATAAAGTGTACATATCCTGGTCCTGGAAAACATCGACATCCTGCATCTTTAGGGGACTGAGCAGCAGAGGGAGGGTTACTTTTGAGCAGGTCCCTTCTGACTGGGGTGGTGCTGTCAGCATGCTAACACTTGTTCTCTGTGCCCTGAAGTTCCTCCTTCAGCATGCTTTTATACTTTGCATTGTGGCAGGTGTTAAAAAAGGCAACTATGAGAAAAGAACAGGAGCCAGATTTTGAGGAGAAGCGGTTTACAGTGACCATTGGAGAGGATGAGCGGGAATTCGACAAGGAGAATGAATTTTTCCGGGACTGGAACTATCGCATCACAAGAGACGTCCGAGATCCAGCGTAAGAGCCCACTTTGTGCTTGCCATCTTTCTTTTTGGAGTGGAGGGGTGGGAAATGACCCCAGCCTGTGTTCTTGATCAAATCCAAACACATTGGTGCTATGGCCAAGTCTGACTTTCTCCTTCAAGCTCTGCAGTACATACAGCTCTGAGAATCACACTAGCTTGTGTGACAGCAGCTGAAACACCACAGGCAAAAAACCTGGCTCCACTGTTCCTTTTGAGGTGCCTCTGAGTAGTTCCAGGTTAACACCAGTTTTTCCTTCAAGTGTTTTAGCCCTGTTCCTCAAGCTGAACGCACACTTACCTGGTCTGGCGGCACAGAGAAGGTGTCAGCTCCTAGTATCTGCATGCCTATATGCTTTTGGTGGCTGTGCTTCAGCAGCTGTACCACCAGCAGGGAAAATGTTCTGGCTGTGGGGTGACAGTAGAAACCGTGCCCACACAAGGGGTGGAGTTGTTCTGCCCTGGGGAGTTCTGTTGTCACAGATAGGCTTTGGGTGTGGACCACACTCTGTGCTGCTGGTCCTAGATAAAGCACTTGTTAGGACTTTAGCCAAGAGGTTTAACCTATTCACAGTTGAGACTCCCTGTAGGGGTAGGTCTCCATACAAAGGGAAGTAGGTGAAGCCTGAGGCTCCAAGCGTGCCGTAAAGTCAGCAGGAGTGATGGAGACCTCGGTCTGACTCCGCTTGGGTGACTGGAAGCAGTCACTTTAGGGAGGATTTTTAGTAGCTATAAAAACAAGTAATGTAATTATAAAAAAAAAATGTCCTTACATTCTGTAGGAGCTGATGGGTGAGCCTCCTGTTTCTCCACCTCCCCACACCCCCACCATGCATATATGCATGCCATGGAAAGATTCCTCCACGCTATAGGGCAGTGAATTTTCGAGCCTTGGTTCCAGCTATTTTGAATGTCCCTTGTCTGAGTTGGGAAAGAAATGGAAACCGAAGAGAGGCAAGCTAAACTTGGCTCCCTAAGCTTAGATTGGCTCAGGACTCAAACTGAACACCCTTTCTTCCATTTTACCAGGGAAGAAGTCCTGCAACTAATTCTGTAAATTTCTGCTTATAGAGTAAAACCTAACACTGGTCACTCTGGGCCTTGCTCTCATCCTCCTCTGAAAAATCTTGCCAGTGCACCTTTTTGCTTTCTCGCTAATATTTTGCAGGTTGACTGTACCTCATGTGTAACAGTGTGTCATGTATTCAAGGTCTGGGTTGACAGTTTTGCTGTTCTTAACACAGTATAAATCTCCTGTCCTAAATAAGCATTTGGGTGACTTATTTTTCTATATTGCTGTAGTGCCCAGAAGCTCTGCTTGAGGTCAGAGCTCTGTTTTGTGGGTGCTGAGCTCTCCTTGCATAGCGCATGCTTAACTTCTGGAACCAAGCCAAAGTACTAAAAACTAAAATGAGTCAAGTGTTTAAAAAGGGGACCATCAAAGTCCTCAGGAAGAGAATGCAATAGGAAATAACATGCAAATTCATAGTCAAGCCATTCATTTTTAAAGTTGAAAAACATCTGATTTTTCACCTTTATATTCATTGTACGAGATGAGTGGCATCTCGCAGCAAATATTAACCATTGGTGTTTCAGATAATGATATTGCTTGTCTTGTGACAGATGGAAATGACAAAATAGTTCATAAATCCCTCTTTCTTTTTTGGAAAACTATAGGGAGGCGGACATCAAAGAAAACATTAACTATGGGTAAGCAGGTCTTTGCTTTCAGTACTGTACCAGCTGTAAGAAAATACCCTGTTTTCTTCCATTGTACTTAAAACTTCCTTGGCTACAGATGGTTGTCCCAGTAATGGGTGGTGTGCACGTTTTAGATTGGATTCCACTACGTTTGGAAATAGGTTTTTCAATTAAGTTAGCCTCTTACTTACTTAAATACACTTAGAAGGCACAGCAGTTGTGCCTGTTTTCACAAATGAAATTATACAGACAGACAAATGGGTATTACAGGAAGGGAGGAGGGAGTTTGGGGTTGAGGGTGGAATGAAAAGTAAGAACTTCTGTCTTGCAGTAGTTTGCAGTTTTGAACACCTAGAGTCACTGAACCCATTCCTGCTAATGGTCTAAGACCTAGAATTGCATTTGTCACCTGGCATGGTCCTGGTAATTCATGCCTCTATTAAATCATCAGTATCTAGGAATCACCTTTGTCCTTTTACTATTGCCTTGAATATCACGTCAAGCAGAAAAGTGGAAATCTTAAGCCACATAAAAGTACTGAAATCCATGTGCTGCCATAGCTTCCAGTACAACAGTTGACTTTCATCCTTCCTTAGATTTCTTGTAACGTCTATTTTTAAATGGGAACACTCTTATTCTTCCTACCTCCATGTGGGATACTGAAGAAAGGAGTCTTTGATTTCCAATCTTGGCTCTGCCAGTAGCTCCTTCTGTGGCCTTGGAAGTTACTGGAGCTCCATACCCTTTTCCTTGTCTGTGTAAAGTGGGTATTATGCGTCCCCCACCCCCCATCCCATCTGGTTGGCAGGGATTAGTTGTTGTTGGGCACATGCTGAAAAATTGCATTAAGTAGTGTTAGTAAAAACCTTCTCACAGGGGAGGTTTTGGAGGCTTTTGGACTCATACCCCAAAAGATCATCCTCTTGCACACCTCCACAGTTATGCATGTATGCAGTGCATGTGAATGTGTTCCCAGTGGAACCATGATACTTTTTCAGTTGGAAAATCCAAACTGCCATGTTCCAGTATCTGCATTATGACCTCAAACATTTAGGAAAGTGCTGTCAGGGACTGCATTTTTATCCCCTAGTAGAAAACTCTGCAAAAATGCCTGTTCATTCCCAAGTGCTATGCGCTCAGCCCACTGACACAACAGTAGAAGATTAAGGCCTATTCTACTTCTGATGTCTATATGGTCCTTGATAGGCGCCACATGCATGCACTGAGGAGAAACTGCACAAAAGTCCAAATAGATGGGCCAGAAATTTTCTCTAGATTTCTCCAGATTTACCCCAGTTGAATAGATTACATTTGGCCTGTGGAGTTCCTTTGTGTCTTCTTCATCAGAACTGCAGCTTTTGTGCCTGTTCTAAAGTTTTCATTTTACTGTAATATTTAAAAGGAAGACTTCTGTGCCCCTGCCAAAATACAGAGCAAATAAGCCATTTTAGGCAGGGAGTACTCTTGAACATGGTTTTCCCTCTTGGTATGTGAGCGTGCACACCTGATCTAGGCTGTGTAGCATCTTCATCGTAAGTGCAGTGTGCAGGTGAGATTTACCCATCTAACTTTCCTGTGCTTGTCATTGCAGGCTTGATCCCTATACAGATCCGTATTACGATTATGATATAGAACGGTTCTGGCGTGGTGGGCAATATGAGAACTTCAGGGTTCAGTATACAGACCCCGACCCATATCGTAACTACAGAGTAAGTAAGGTAATCCGCCTGTCTAAACTTTCCTCCTCTGGCTGATTTAGGAGTCCATTCAACTTCATTTCCAGTATGTTATATCAAAATCTGTTGGTTTCTCTACCTCCCCCTCTTGTCTTGTATGCATCATGGTTTGGTTACCTCCAATTATTCAGTCTTGACTTTTTGAGCACTGGCAATGTACAGTGTGCCAGACAAGACGGTCAAACAGGCCTGTCCTGATGAGTTGATGATCTTTCTCTTCAATAAAGCAAAACTCACTGCTGCACCCAGCAGCAGGTGTTAGCTGTCTTTTTTTTTTTTTTTTTTTTTTTAAGACATTTGACTTGACATGCATAGCATTTTGGAGGTTGAACCAAAGGAAGGTTTTAAATGAAGACCAGGCTATATGAGAGTGTTAGAGCTAGGCATCTCTGCCATCATGTATACTAGTGGACTTTCACTGAGATAAATGGGTATTTGAGACTTACTGCACATTTTGTTTTGGAATCTCATATGGTGGTTGATTCAGTGGGAAGAGGGAGAACAGTAGACTCTAGAGAGAGCACCAGATGCAGTCTCCTCGGGTTGTATTATTGCACGCAAGAGGGAAAGCTGAGTATTCTATTGAAAACGGTCCTTGATATGTGGAAAGGCAGTAAAGCTTTGTTGCAGTGCCTTAGAAGGACTAATTTTGCTGAACACTCAGATTTGCGGTGGCAGAAGAGAGCAGTTAATTTGTTTACTGGTAGTTGTAAGACTCTTCAGAAGTGATGCTCAGACAGTGGCCTGTCTTTGCTGCTGCTTTTTATGGCGCAGTATCAATTCTTGCAATTACTTGCAAAATTCATAGTTATAATATGACAGATTAGCAATGTGCTCAGAGGGTCTTTTCACAAACATTTCTGAACAGCCACGTACCTGGTGGTGTTGGTTCTCAAGGGATAAAGGTTGAACCAGATTCACCCTGGGTGCCTGTTGCCTTTGGTGAAGTTATAGTGGGGGTGAATCTAATGCTGCATGTTCTTACAGTTCTTCTTGCTGATCCTGAAACATGGTGCACAGGCTCCATTCCCCCCTCCCAATGTCGTGTCGTAACTAGGGGAGCTGGGATAATGGTGTCTAATCCAAGACTTCAAAACCTTGTTTGGAGGTAATGCACTTGCGGAAGTGGTACAGAAATGTTATCCTGTCTCTTTCTTTTTTTGCAAGGAAAGAGAGCGAGAGCGGGAAAGGGAAAGAGAGAACAGACAGCGCGAGCGTGAGCGGGAACGGGAGCGCGAGCGGGAGAGGGAGCGACGGCAGCGGGAGCGAGAAAGGGAGCGCGAGCGGGAGCGCGACAAGGAGCGCCAGCGGAGGAAAGACGAGTGGGAACGTGAGAGGGAGCGCATCAAGAGGGACGAGAAAGACAGGCAGCATCGAGACCGCGACCGGGACCGGGACAGAGAGAGGGAGCGGGAGAAGGAGAAAGAAAAACCCAAACCTCGGTCACCGCAGCTACCAAGGTATGTGCTTGGCTCTCCCTTATTGTGCCTTTCTACCTGTGGGGTATTAAGCAAAGAGCACCCTGTGAGCAGGCAGGAAGCCATGCTTTTCTGGTTCGTACTGCTCTGAGGAGGAGCAGTGCAAGTGCACTGATCACTGGGAACGTGCAGTTCAAATGAAGCTTGCTGGCCACTAAGTGGAGCTAAAACGCAACAAGTGTTTTGGGGGACTTTGCAGCAGCTGGCTGCGAGTAGAGCAGACAGGTTAAGCTTCCTGTTGTAGGATTTTGCATGTCTTTTACTTTGCCCCTGTGAGAGGTCTGGCCTTCTCCAAGCTGCAGAATCCGGCATGATGCTAATGTGTGTGTCTTGGGAATCCAGATGTCTGAGTGCAGGACTCATAAGCAGGACACCTGAGTTGTAGCTCTGTGCCCAATACTGACTTCTATGGATTTGGCAAGTCACTGTCGTGGCAAAATTCAAGGATGGACTAGGTATTTATATAGTGAGCTAATGCTAAGAAGTGAGTGGGGCTTGGAGAGGCTCTAGAGCCTCAAGCTTCAGGGCTTAAAGCAATTTTGACTATAAGTGAGGATGAGATTTCAATGTAGGGCAGGTCATTCAGACTTGCTGACTGGCAGGCTCCTTTCACCTTCCTCCAAAATCTCCAGCACTGGTCACAGATGGACAGAATAGTGGACTAGGTAGAGCAAAGAGCTGATCTGGTCTGCAGTTCCCATGCCTCTGCTTCCCTGCGGGTCAGTTAGGTGATACGTGCCCACAGTAACTTCCAGGTGCATTTGGATTAATTATGAACCCCTGTATATATTGAAGCTGACTGGAAAATGGCATTTGCAGCACATTGGAAATCCTGCTGTTGCACCATCTTTATTTTTGTTTTTCCCGGAATTGGGGGTGGGAAATGTTGAGATGGCAAAGCTGCTTGCTGAATGCAGAGGTCAGAAGAAAAACCTTGGGATTTAGAAATGAGGAGGTATTAATAGGAGATGGAATCTGGCCAAGCAGCATGGGGAAATAGGGGTCACGAAGAACTCAGAACTAAGTGGTCTTTGAGATGTGGTAGTCTCTCTTGGTGGCTACTGAGTCACTCTAGTGCCTCTTGGCCATGGGAAGGAGAGGTGGGGGCGATGGGGAAGGACACCGCATCATAGAAAGATGCTCTGGGACTGGTCCCATCACAGAGAAGAGGTCTGGGAGAACTAGCACTCCCATGTACTTCAGGTGGGTGCAGGGATTAATGTTCATCAGACCTAGAATTTAACCCTTTCGCTTGGATTCCCCTGATTTGGGAAATTTTGATTTTTGATGAAAGCCTGTTTTCTAACAGGAGGACATTTCATTTGGGATCCTCCTCCCCACCCAGACGTATAAGAAGTGGTCCAGGGCTGTGCTACCCTGGGCGTATTTGTCAAGTTGAATACTCTGTTCTAAGTAAGGGATATTCATGCAGCTCCGTTATCTTAGTTGCGGCTAAGGTTCACGTTCAGACCAACTTCATGATGACAGCTCTTGATTCCTATCCTTGTTTGGTGGCTGAAGTGATGCAAGTTGATTTGCTTCTCTAAATATCACCAGCTGTGATGACTGATATCAGTCTGAAGACTGAGGCGGTAGAGAACTGGGAGACAAGGCAGCTCAGTCTCCTTTCCCCATTTAATCTGAGATCACACATGCTCCATGGGTGCAGTTCAGCCCGTTCCCCTAAACAGGAGCGCAGTGATCTGACAGCTGGATCTTGCATGTCTAAACCAAACTTCATACTTGGGGTCTGCCTGTGATAAGCACAGGGAGGGAGAATTCTTGTTTTTCATGGCCTTGCTTTCCCCTAATGGAAAACACTGCTCATCTGAACAGTTCCTCTGTTTGGCTGTTTTTTGGCTCGATATTCTGCTATTTCTAGAACTACTAGTTGAAAAGCCAGTATTTCAAATCCACTCCAGTCTTAGCTGGTACAAGAAGTAATGTGTGCAAGTTCAAGTGAAGGTGCTGTAGGAAGCCAGGAGCAGCTGCTCACGTTGGCTTTATTTTATAGGTGGCTTAAAAACATAAAACCTGTGCTGTTGGGGGTCAGGTGGGCTTTTATGCTACGGCGGAGCGATTGCTATTGTACGTGACATGGAAGTTTTATAACAAAAAAGTGCTCTCAAATGAGACAGGTATCCACATTGTAGCTGTATGGGTCTAGAGGCAAAAGGAATTGGACCTCATCGTAGAGGTGATTGATTATCTTTTATTAGACCAACTAGATTTCTGCAAAAACAAATTATTTGCAAGATTTTGGGCATAAGCACCCTTCAAGCATTGGAGACAAGATTGTAAAAGTAATGAAAATGAAGCAAGCACTCAAATGAAGTGCAGTCACGATGCCCAGCACTGCCTCTACGAGGGAGGTGGAGTAAAAGATGCATTTTTTACAGCTATTGAGGATGTTTTTTGTTTCCAATGGAGACGATACTCCTGTTGAGGAAAATGTGATCTAAAAATAAGACCGATCCCCAGGTCCTGTTGTCAGAATCCCACTTAATCCATCCACGTGCACTGCACTATGTGGTGAGGGGGCGGGAATTGTCACTAGTGAGATGCAGCAAAGCAGAAAAAGTAAATGAAAAGCAATTCCTTTAAGTCCTGTTTGCCAGAAAGAGAGGCCCAGCTCTGAGAAGTAACAGGGTTACTCTTCCCTTGAGGGCAGCAGCCCGTCCCCCCCAGTGCTTTCTCTTTCCTGCAGCTGTCTCATTTAAGCATGGCTTTGGCTCTGCCTTTCCAGACCCAGCGTCCCTCCTAAATTGTCTCCAAGCCAGGATGATTTGTACCGGCCGTTCAAGCTTCACCCGGTGTCGCATGGTGACCCGCCAGGGACTCACAACTCTCTGCCTTCTTATCTCTGAGTAACTTGGCACTATTTATAGCTAAGACTTCTATTTTAGCGTGTTAGCCTTCTAGAAATAAGCCTCTTACTAATTCTGTTTAATGTGTAACCTCTTTTGAATTTGATTCATGTTTACCAGGGAGAAGCCTGCAGGTTAGTGGAAGTCATGCTGCCCTCTTGGAGTCTATTTATAGCCTCATTTGCTTTCCCTAATTGTCAGATCCCAATGGCTGGCAATTCCAGCCTTTCTGTGGCTCTTGGCTTTATGACATCCAGTACTTCCCTGCGTCACATGGCTGCATGATGCGAAGCGGTGGTGTTGTTCCAAGCGAGCACGCACTTCCTGATGCAACCGGTGGCTGGGCAGCATTCCATGCACAACCGCAGTACATTGTACGATCAGTGTCTTCAGTTGGGATGTGAACAGCCATCCTTTTTAGCCTGTTTGAGACTGGCCCCTTTCGTGGACCCCTTAGAAGGCCTTTGAAAACTCAGACTTTCAGCAATCATGCCAGGAGGTATTAAACAGCTGTTGAACTATGAAGGATCAGTGCTCCAGTTGTACCCAGGGCAGCTGTAGTTGCAAGTAAATAGCCTTCAGTGCATTAACACTGGAGTCTCCTGCTCTCTCCCCCACCTCCAGAAGCCTACAAATAGGCTGTAACTGGGAGGTTGAAAGACAAGTTGAAGAAGCAAGGACATTATAAAATAATGGTTCAGTTCTGCTGGAACAGGAAATTGTAGATTGGTCTGAGGACTAGAAATCTGCTCAGAACTGAAGGGGGACCTCCTTGCAACAGTCTTCCCCGCAGGTGATGCTGGCTGTAACTTTTCTCTTCCTTTCCAAGGAGAGGCTACTCGACAGGCTCCTCTAATATAGGCTTTAAATGCGGATGGGTTCAAAAATATATTTACGCTCCCCTCTCCCATTCCCAGCTTGCAAGAGGAATAGTCCTCCAAAACATTAGTGTGAGTGCAATGCTGGCACAGTCCCACCTTCTGCCTTAGGCAGTCCATGCACTAAGCACCGAACGAGCAAGGACCGGCTCTGGTGACCGGAGAGAGGGATAACTGCATTACTTGATCAGCATTCTCCATCTCGAAAGGAGGCCTGAGGCTGCCAGAGTGTTTGCTGGGTGCAGAACGCCGGCTTCATACCCTCTTGGCCTTTGGACTGCTGCGTATCTCGCTGTTATGTAAAGCATTTGGTGGGGATCAGAGGAGTTCTGTGAAACTCATTCGACTCTGTGAAGGCTTCTCCAGTGCGGTCACTCCAGTGCAGTTCTGCCCATTTCTTGGATTACCTTTTATATTTGCCTTCCTACCAGCTAAGGCACAGGGCAGATGTTGCAGCAAGGGAAGTTTAGGTTAGATAGTAGGTGAACTGTCTTGCTAGGAGGGTAGTAAAACACTGGAACAGGCTACCCAGAGAAGTTATGGACTCTCCATCCTTGGAGGTTTTTAAGACTTGGCTGGGATGATGTAGTTGGGGCTGGTCCTGCTTTGAGCAGGGGGTTAGACTAGATGTGACCTCCTGAGGTTCTTTCCAGCCCTGCCTGTCTATGATTCTCTAAAATGCTCCACTCTTCTAACTGATCTGCATAGGTTCTCCATCCTGCCGCAGATCTCAGTGGGATTTAGCAACACAACTGATCTGCTCAGCAGTTCATTCCTTTGTTGCGTTATCCTAGTGCCTGGGAGCTCTCCTCTTGTGAAACAGGACCCCTTCAGTGCTAAGTGCTTACAGGCACTGAACAGAAAGGCAGTCTCTGTCCCAAAGAGCTTGCTGTCAATGTGTTGGGTACAAGACAGCAGAGAAATGCTCTTGGGGAAGAGCAAGGCAGTACTGGTCAGCTATAGGCAGTGAGTGCTTCTTCCCCAAGGGGTGAGTTGCCTGTTTGGAGAGGGTGGAGAGGTCTGTGATCCTTCATTGCTGAGGAAGCCTGTCCCATTAGCTAGGGACCTTATCCCAGAGCTTTGGTTGAGTGTGGGTATTCACATACTTTTGATTGATCATAACCGTCTTTTGTGGACCCCTTGGGCATAGTGTGCGGACCACAAGTCAAAAACCACTGGTCTGTGAGAGAGGCAGCTTTGGAGAGCAGAAAGGACAACCAGGAGGGCAGAGAATACA